GATTTGTCAGAAAAATATGTAATATTATGAACAAAGAGGTATTGTTCACCATACTCAGACAAGACCCATTAATGGACTTTACCTTGACATTCGTAGAATAGCTCGATGTCACAATTTTCTCTAAATATTTCATGGAGCACAGCTTTGTCAAATATAGCCGACAAAGGCTCATAAAAGGAAAAGTTTTTTTGGGGTTGGAGGGGGTGGAAGGTTTTTGGCCAAGAATGTTCTGGATGCATTTAATTAATTACTGGCCATGGGATCTAGAAGTCAGTCTTTAGTGGTGTTGAAACATTCAGTTTTATACTCCAACCTGAATACAGATATAAGAAACTCCATAATTACCCTTTCGGTTTAATATTTTGACTTTTTCAAACTTTCTGTATATTTATTCTACTGTAACACATTCCGCTTATTATGTTTTGCAAATCACAGCAGTTGCTGGGTTTCATTTCTGTCTGCCAGCACAAAATCCCAAAATCTGGACTGTAGGGCTGCTTACCCTGATGCAGTGTGACAGGATTTTAGCCACTGTGACACGTTTCTGCAGGACCGTCTCACGCCAGACGACAGTCACAGTGCAAACGACACATCTTCCAGATTGCAATGTGTTTGTTTTTCGTTATATCGGGGAAGTCACTGGATAAACAGCAAAACAGTAAATAACGAGAATCCCACATTTTTACCACTGAGGAGCAAATGCAGGAGTCTGTTCAGGCTACGGTGTTAGATTCATAGGGGAGGCGATAAAAGTGTGACAGCCCTAGGAATTAAATAAACGCGAGGAAAAACTAGACCATCAGTCGCAATGATGTCAAGGAGGTTTGTAAGGCAATGGCAGGCTGACTGAAGAGAACAGACATTTATTCCAGTGAATTAAACCAGCTCATAATGTTCAAAAAGCAGTCGCACACCTGTTACAAAAAAAGACGACAGACAGTTTTTTCCCTTTACTTCTGTCTGCAGTTGCAGATCCATCACAGGGAGACTGAAACGTCACTCTTCCCAAGGGGGGCGGAGAATTCGAGCAGCTGCAGCATCTTAAATCACATTGCGTACAAAGACAGAGGGAGATAGTCGACAGTTTGCTCAGTTATTGTACAATAGCTACTACTGCACATGATAACGAAAAAGATAAAGAAAAAAACAATAAAGAAAAATAAATTAAAAACTGGTAAACTAATTAAACTGGCTTAGTTTTTCATTTGTTATACACTTAATATTGAGATAACATGGAACTTTATTGATCTCTGTGGGGGGAAATTTATTTGTCATATAAGAAGAAATAACAAAGTGTAACGTAAATAAACAGACAATAAACAAAGGAAAATTAGTAGTACAATAACCATTTACCACCAAAATATAAAGAATAAATAACAAATAAAGAATAAATTGAAGTGTACAAAACAATGTACCAGTGTATTAAATTAGTAAAATATGGCTGATATTTCTTCACTGTTAAATCAATATTAAGTCAAGTTATTAAGTCGTTATTTTTGCTATTGGTGGGAGGTGTATTTTAAGTAGCTGTGGTGAAATAATTTTTAATATATACATCAAAATTGGACTATGTGCTTAAAGGTTACACCAGATAAGGTGGCATTTAGTGTGAACACATTTTCTATTAAACCCACTGACAGTATCGCTGTGCACTCAAAAATTCTAAATGTGTTTGGAAAATTGAAAGATAGCAAGGGGATTTGAGCGGGGGGGGGGTGACCTTGGGTAACTCCATTCTCCAGTCTGTTTATGACCCCGCAGTTTCGGGGGTTATTTCTACTTCCAAAACCTGACGAGGTGAAAATTGCAGGCCTGCATCACCCCCCCCCCCCTGTGTTTTTTTTATTAATAGAGAAGTGAGGCCCCTGGCTCTTGTTAAAAGGGTTTCCTGCTGCTTCTCTGCCAATGGGTCAGTGACTCATCTCACCCCCCACGTCCGTGCCGGACCCCTATCATCACAGGCTCGTGTCGAGGCTGCAGTCGGACACGCCACCGCTGACCGCTGCGCTGTTATTGCCTCTGTGCCACCACTCATCGGGTAATTCTAGGATTTTTTTAAGGTGGGGACATAAGAGGGGCCATAATTCATACAGTGGAGCCAACCTTATCATTAGCCAATAATATGTTTTGTATGGGTGAGTGGCAGGGGAGATGGCGCTCTGCGGACCAATCAGAATTCAGCTGGGGGCGGTCCCTATGTGGCCCCGCCCCCATATACATCTCTGGAGTTCATCGGAGTGGTTAGATATGGTGGCAGATAGATCTCCTGTGAACTTTTCCTATTCAGCTTGGCAAAAGTCGCCATTCCAGGGTTTCTAGTTTAATTACGCAGAAGATGGAATATACTTGAAATGGGCGGGGGGGCACTGATATCATTTAGCAATTAATCAAAGGCCTTCATTGTATGTGCTGTCAGGTTTGGCTTAAATGGCACTCAGGTTAGGACCCATTCAGGTGTCGGCTGCGAATTCATTTTGGCAGCGAGTCCCTCAGACTTTCATTACATTTTAATAAAACCATTACAATGCGAGAAACACGTCTCACTTCACAGTGAATGGGGCTGCGTCCTCAGCCTGTCGCTACGGCAACTCAAAGCGCAAGGAGCGGCTCGTTAAAGCATCTCAGCCCCTGCTTGATGCCCTTGATTGATTTGCTAATCAGTTATTACGATTAATAAGTTAACAACCTAAATATGATTAACCAATTCTGATTTTCTGTCTTTGAAACCGGGGTATCAAACCAAGATCCTTCCCCATCTTTTTGTAGTGACTGAGCAGATGAATGAATCGGGTCATTTCATTCGCGCTAAACCAATGATGCTGAACACTCAAAACGGTTAAACCCATTATAATCTCATCTTTAAAATCAAGATATTCCACTTTCGTTACAGATGCTCCCTGTATGATTCCCTGCTGCTCTGATAAGAGTCATGCACACATTAATACACACACACCGCACACATATGTGTATTCATGTCTTTGTGGTGACCATCCATCCATTTCTATGAGAAAATCATTAATCCCTACAATGACGACCTTAACCCCTACCCAGTCCTAAGCTTAACCATAAGTAACCAAACAAAATACGAGACTTTTGGCATTTTTAGTTTGTTGATTGTTGACAGACACACACGCACATACACACAGGTCCCACCCCCCATTCACACACTCACAGATCCCCCCCCCCCCCACAGACAAACACACACACACACACGTGTACCCCTGCCTTGTGCCCTATATTGACTGGGATATGCTTCAGGCACCCACAAAAACATGCCCCCATCCCACTCCATTTTACTCTGCGAAAGTGGCCAGTAGATGGATGTGTGGATGCATATTTAGAGCCTAATGGATAAAGATATTCAAAGAAAGTGGGAAATTTCAATTTGCCCTGTCAGTACCAAGTAGCAGCATATAATCGTTGAAATCATGCAAATTCACCAAGTATTCCTCTGTTATTAATTTGTCTTCCTGATGCTTTCGATATTATCAGTTAGCGTGGATGGATATTTTAATGCAGTAATTCAGGTTAAGTACATCTCCACTAGGACAGCAACCTCTCTCACTTCGTGAGACTAAACCCAAAAACCATCCGTTTTCCCGAACCTTGTACAGTTCAGACAAACAGAGAGTGGGCACAGTTTCCCTTACTGGTTTTTGCGGTTGATGAAAGGCTACAATCTGTCTCATCGCCCAGAAAAGCAATGAATTACCAGCTAAACCCAGTGTCTCACACACAAGCTTTCACTGCAAGCCTCATTATGGTCTTGGATTTGGTACAAAGGATGCTCTGTATTGTACTGCAGGGCCAGGCATAATAAAAGGTATACAAAACATCAGGGATGGTGAAAATCGAGGCTTCAGAACCTGTGGTGGGTGGGATTATAGTGTGCTGTCAACCACCGTAACCAATGAGAACCGCCCAAAACCAGTGATTGACATTCTTAATTGACGAATCAAGATTGTCTACCTATCATGGGTTTCGATGCCTCATTTTCCCCTTCAGTGGTGAATTGTACCTTTAATTATTTCTGGCATGTATGCAGCTTAAAGCTTTGGCAGTGCATTACAGTGATTCCCGTGAAGTTTGCATGTTCTTCCAGCGTTTGCATTGGCTTCTTCTACCCACTGAGGAGTCCTGCCGCAGTCCATAAACATGCAGCCACGCGAAAAGGCAGAGAACATGAACCATGGATTACATAAAAGCATATATTATTTTCGAAATACCTCGATGTTTGCCCGTTGAACGTCTCATGCTGACATCTGAATCGGACAAATGATTCGCTTTCACGCTGTTCAAGGTGATGGAACACAAAAGCCATTGTAGAGTTACAGTGGCAGGGCGATGAGCTCAAGTCAGATGGTGACTGAAGAATGTTGTGGTGAACAGGAGGTATATTAAGGGCTGCACAGTGTGATGTAGGGACAATTGTGAAGGAAAACATCGATCCTTCTCCGGTTATGGGGGCAGTTAGAGCCTAACTCAGACAGCATAGGGCACAATGTAGGGTAACTGCCCTGGATGGGATGATTGTCCAGAGTCACTGTACCACTGCACTCATTATATTTAAATTCCATCACCTGCTTGTTTGTTTTGTGGAGAAGATTGACACTTTGAGGTGAGACGTTATGTAGTCCCGTGAGCTCTAGTAGTCCAGGAACTCTGCTTGATCTTACAAACGCTGCAGAGCCCTCCACCCCTCGTCTTTGTTGGTATCTTCACGGCGGCACCGGCTCACCGCGGATGTCACAGGAGGTATCCAGAAGCGAGCGTGATGTCACAGGAAGGGTTGAGACACATCGTCGGGATGGCGGCCATGTTGGTGCAGCCTTCCCATGATCTGCCAGCAGACGTCGGGCGTAATCAGACTTGCCGGGCGTGCCGGAATGTTCACTTTCGGGAAGGTGCATGTTTTGACCTGGAACGTGGGTCAGTACAGTACATTCCCTGTGGTTAATTGTAACTGTAAAAGTTGATGTGTCTTTCTTCTCATCCTGTAGCCTGAAGGAGCAGGACCTACAAACGGAAGAGCAGACAATGCAGCCAAAAACTGTGAGTACTGACATCATTTCCTAAATTCCTGATCTGAAGTAGACATTTCCCTCCATCTTGAATTGATACTAATGGATAAAATTATGTGAGAATCCACCACATTTCACAATGTTTGGTGGAAAGTTCAGGTCCAGAAAGTATAAATACAGACCACGGTTTTGTTTCAACCAACCACTAGAGTATATAGAGTCACAGTCACAGAAGACTCAGCTGGTTGGGTGAAGCAAAACCTGGGTCTGGATTTGTCCTTTCTGGACCTGAACGTTCCACCTCCGCTATTCACGACACCCTCACTGTGGCTTTCAGATCCTGTCATAACGGACACGTACAAAACTTCTAGCAGACTAGCTAAAGACAAGTGCGCACCAAGCGGCACAGCTACGTCCGAATACTTCTGCTTATCGGACGAAAAATAACCTCGCTGCTTGAACGATGCACCTCTGTACTTCCCACCGGCTAAAACAGCCAAAGAACGAAGATCATACTGGCTACACAAATGCTATGGACCAGTTCCTGAGCTGTGCCATAGTCTGTCTGCTATAGTGGTCGCATAATTGAGACATTTTTAATGCTATTAATCCTGCAAGCAGAGCAAAGGGTGTACAGCATTCTGCCAGAGTTTGTATTCAGTTTGTCAGTGGGGCTTTTAGATTTTTCAAATGTATTAGTTGTGACTGGATGCCCCTTAAAAGAATGTCATGCAGTTATGAAGCATATACTCAGAAAGACATTTTCCTACATATTGCAAGGTTTATGCATATATTGAAATGCTTGTAATTTAATTTAATTTCATTCCAAGACATCCTTTAAGTTTGCGAATTGCTTCATTAGTCGAAATAATTTCAAAATATGATGTTCAGTAAATTGAAACGTCTAAGGAATATCCCAATCCGCATAACAGCTTGCTTTGATAAATTTAATATGACCCATTTATTAATGCTTGGGGTGGTGGGGGTGGGGGGGGCATTACAAATTATTGAATTGCTGCAGGAGATTAATAGCTTTGATGAGCTCTAAGTAAGATGGCAAATTATAATTATTTATATTTGCAGCAGAAAGACTGCTTTGATTGGCGGCCAGGCAGAGAGACAGACAGACAGACAGACAGACAGACAGATAGATAGATAGATAGACAGACAGTCAGGCAGAGAGACAGACAGACAGGCAGACAGAGAGACAATCACATGGACAGGCAGAGTGACAGACAGACAGATAGATAGATAGATAGATAGATAGATAGATACAGTAGATAGATAGACAGTCAGGCAGAGAGACAGACAGTCAGGCAGAGAGACAGACAGACGGGCAGAGAGACAGACAGACAGGCTATTTACCCCTGAGGAAATCACAGAGAGGACATCCAACTACTGTTCTAACACTAGGATTGAAAATTTGGACACTTCACAGTCAATAAAGATGCTCTAACAAGTACAGCCTAAGGCACTTGGTCTTGCTTTGTGCACTATTTTGTATTTTTAGGCTCTATTCAGCCCGAAACACAAGACACCTCGCATTAGAGGAAATTAGAAAGAAGCGCTGATCCCTCCCGAGACTGATCGTTTATTGTTCGCTGAGCACCTTCGCCGTCGAGAGAAACATGCCGCGGTTTTATGCGAGGACCGATAAAATAAATAAAAAATCACAGCGGTTCCTGGCGTTTCCCACCGGTTGTTCCCGCCACTTGCGCCGCGTCCCTCGCTGAGCAGACTGTATTGTTGTGTCTACACACCTCACTTACCGACTGTGACATTAATCAAAGTGTCCCAGTTTCCTCTCAGAGATAAGTTACCTGTGAAATCTGTGATGTGCATAGGGGACACTGGTTTTTTGTACATTTTTTTAATAACTGCAAGTTCTCTGTAAGCCTTCGGAAAGGTCAGTTTTGTCAAAAAAAGCAACTTTTTTCATTTTTCTTATTACGATTGTCTATTTTTATTTCTTTCTTTTTTTTTTTGGTTGGCTTAATCTGCAATCGAATGTTCTCAGTTTATGCTAGATCAGTTTTTCTCAGCCCAGTCCTCATGGAGCCTCAAAGTCCATATTTGTACTCCCTCGCAGCACCCAGCCCACCTGAACCAAACAAACAAGCAATCACAAACACAGAACACCTGGTACCGAAAATGTGGAACTGTCTGGGGGTCCGAGAACACTGGGTTGCGAAACGGTATGTTAGACGATAGATTTTGCCGTGAGAGTTTGAGCGCCATCACGAATCGAAACCACAGGAAGAACCGGACCCAAGTGGATAAGCCCTGTGGTTTATTTAGACCAGTGCTTTCCAACCCAATCCATACAGACAGTCCACATTTTTCGCTCCCTCCAAGCTCCAAACACCCGTACCAGGCATTCAGGGAGCTGGGAGGGAGCGAAAATGTGGACTGTCTGGCAATCCCCGAGGACTGGGTTGGGGAACACTGATTGAGATAATAATTGGGTGGCAATTGCATATGACTCAGCTGAAAGGCACATACTTCAATGAGCTCGAAATGACTGAAAGAAGCCATTTGGGGAATTGAGGGAGTAAAATATACAGGAATGTTCAGCTAAGAAAAAAACAAGCTATACGGGTATCAGCGAGAAAGCGAATGTATTTAAATTACAGTGCAGTAAGGATGAGGACACATCCCTTAGGCTGGTCCCAGTGCCATACTTAGTAAAGTTGAGTTATATGCTACATTAAACGATTGTTTTGCCATAAAAATCGTATGACTTCTTCCTGCAAGAAAGGAATCTGTGGCGGATTTATTCCCTAAACCCTCTAGGAAAATGTACAGTAAGACTAATAAAAAAAGATTTTTCAATTGACTAAAGCACTGAAAGAGTTTCGCATCCGATTCGTGGCCGTTTTTTTTCCCCCCAGAGTGTCCAGTCAGCGTAGTTTTTCCCAGAATGCTCTGGGGGGAAAATGCAATGAGCCCTCACACCTCCTTAATGACATTTCATTGCCTGCGAGCTTTACCTTCCCGGCCTACGAGCTCAACTCCGCCCAAGAGGGCTGGAATCAGAGTGCGGGAATCTGCAAAAAAAAAAAAAAAAAAACTGAATTTAAATAATCGAATCGACCGCGCCGTTCCATTTCAACGAGGGAGACGAGCGAGCCACTCTCCGTCTGATAATGCGTTTACCGAGATGTATAATTTCATTCAGCTGAAGAACACTGAAGGTCACCAAGACTTCTCTTAATATAATAACTGAACAGAACCATAAAAAAAACCCAACGCGATGGCTTTCAATTAAATATCTGTTATCAGCATTAGATAAATGTTATTACATCATCGCATCCCATGGTGCCTCAGCGTGTAGCAAAAGCAGGTTCAAATCCCACCCCTGGTCTAATATCATCAAAGAACACGCAGCGAGCTTTGCAGCAATCAGCTGGATCGTTTTCCGGAGTCTTTCAGTGGTTAAGATGTTCTCTGCGTGGTGGTAACCTTGAACTGCAGGTTCCTCTTGGGTCCTGCGCTCTCAGATGAAAGCTGGATTGGTAATGGGATAACTGCTTATAAAGCGATTATGACGCTTGGAACAGTACGTCGACTCCGGTCCCATCACCTGATTCTCTTTCCCTCAATGACACCATCCCATCCTCCAGAACTCATGCTGTACCATGTTTGTCACATAATATCCTCACTGTGAAACATTTTGAATGCTTTTTAATGATTGTGACGGCATTAAATTAATACTACTAATAATACAACTGATTATTGTTATTGTTTTCATCGTTATTACTGCAATGTGTCACATCTCCTCCCTGAACCACCCAATCCCATGGCCTGTTCACACATTCTGCCATTCCTATCTTGTAGCAGTCCATGTCTGAGCCTGCCTTTATGTAGGGTAACATATTTTAACTATATCTTATGCATGACCCATGAATTCAAGGGAATTAAATAAAAGCCGTGCGATTTTCATTGATCGTTCATATAGATATATGTGAAGATGCCGCGGTAACTAAATTTTCTCTTTGGGCTTCCATTTCAACAGATTATAATCGTACTGAAATGTAGATGGATCTTTTTGAAAAGAAAAAGAGGATCAATGCTGATATTAGGGACACAAATCTGGAATTTTAAGTTGTGGTGGCCATTTTCCTGAGTGTGCAATATCACAGAGCCTATTTATATATTAGGCCAGAATGAAGTGTGTGCTCTTTTAAATATAGAGTGAAACTGAGGTTGCGTTACAGTACAGCTGTAGGAAGTACGTTCACTTTATGCAGGTATCTGTTCAGCCGTTTTTAATCATATTTTACGACGCCATTGAATTTCTAGTACTAAAATGCGCTATTCAGTTTTTTGACTGAAAATAAGACTGGTGCCTTAAAAGCACCAACAACGCGAAACAATTTTGCAATATTCATTAAAACTTCATGCAAGCGCCATTTATCAGCGGACTGGAATTGATTTTCATTATGCAGCACTTTGCGTTTCTCAGACGGAGCCAAAGTAGGGCGCCGAATTACTTCTCTCGATGGAGAAAGCGGCGTCTTTTATATCGAGGTGTAAAATGGAGTCTTCGCTTTGATCACGTCATATTTAAGGCTTTTAAAAACAAGTGATGCAGTTCGTGCGATCCGCTCTCCTTCCACGCTAGACTAGCCGGGAATAGGAACCTCGTCTAAGTCCTCAGCAAGACTTTGTCACTCCGTAAAGGACAAAAGTGTATTTGCATACCTCTGGGGAAGAGCAGAAATATTAATCAGATGCTGTCAAGTCAGGTTATATGACTCAGTAAACACGTTCTCTGAAGAATACTCGCGTATGCTCTCTGTGTCAGGGATACGATCACATTGAAGAGGCCAGGTTTGCACAGGTCATGTAAACATATGCAATTTCATCAAAATTTCTTTAAATTAAATGTGTACATTCCAAGTTATTTGTCTCTTATCCACACCTTTGCAGTATTTGCATTATCTATACGTTGCACTGTATATTTCACTATCTATACATTAATTGTCATAACTAGTTGCATAACCTACTTACTGTAAACACCTTAATATG